AGAATAATTTTTTTAAATGCTTGGTGTGAATATTTGCTTTGGTGATTATACAAGTTCAAACTAAAATCACTCATATAACCTATTTTAAATATGTTAAAATTTAAAAGCATATCCCAATTATCAAAAGTGTTTTCTAACGAACAGACTATTATCAAGTATTTAGAAAAGCATAGGTGAAATGGCAATGCAATCTCTCCTTATGACCCTAATTCCAAAGTTTATTTTTGTCCTAGTATTAACCGATATAAGTGTAAAAACACAGGCAGGTTTTTTAATGTTAAAACTGGAACTATCTTTGCTAATACCAAGATAAAGCTAGAAGATTGAATTTTAGCCTTGTATCTTTTCTCCTTTTTCTTGGGAGTCCTCAATGGCTCGTTTACAACCTCAACAACCATTTTTATAAATTAGTTGGGTCATTATTTACTTGCTTTGTCAGGTAGCAACTGAATAATTTTTGCTTCTTGCTCTAATTGCTGAAAAAAATATACCAAAGAGAAATTTGTATTTGCTTGATAAATATTCCTCTCCTAATTCTTTAGTAATAAGGGAAATGAAATAAAAACCAACCAAAATTAAGAGTATGTTCAATCTATAAGCAAGGAATTATTTATTTAGACTAAAAACTCTTTAATAATCCCTTTACCTCCCCAATTACTACTACCCTCGAAGGCCGAAGAGTTTATCCCTGTGATTTAAGTAATTAACAAACAAAGATTATTGCGACTAATCATCGATCCCCACTATGAGGAAAACATGGTAGTTATGTTTTATTTCGCAACCCTTCAGCCTATTCTAGAAAGAATTCCCCTGAATACTCAGAGTTAAGAAAGGGGATGAAAGAACCTTAAAATAAGTTAAAGATAAAAAAGAATATAAAGTATGAAAGACTGAAAAAACATACACCTCAATTTTAATGAAGAACTACAAAAGCAGTGAGAAAAAAATGGATTTGATTATAATAGTTGCAAGGAATGGATTTATGCGGACTTAAAACCCCAAGATGGTGGATATGCAGCTTGACTTCGTGACATACTTGAACTATCTCCTCTTGATTATTTAAGTGTTAGAGAAAATGAATCATCGTTGCACAAACAATACCAAGAATATTTGCAAACCTGCCAAAATGCAAGCAATAATGAAGAGGCTAATTGCAACGATGTTCAAGAGTGGCTGAGCAATGAATATCCTAAAGAAAAGAGAGAAAGCATAAAAGAGTTAAACATTGCAAAAAATAATTTGAAAGGTCATTTAGAACTATGAGGCTTTATTAATCTCGAGACATTACTTTGCTATGAAAACAAATTGTCAAGTCTCGACATTAGCATGTGTAAAAGACTTAAAAAAGTTGTATGCTCAAATAACAAAATAAAAAGTTTGCACCTAAAAGGCAATCAAGAAATTCAAATGCTAGTTTGTTCAGTTAATGAACTTACTAACTTAAATATAAATCAATGTAAAAATTTGGCTTGAGTTGAGTGCTCACATAATAAATTAACCAATTTAGATACCAGCAAATGTTCAGAAATTAAACTCATTTCTTGTGGAAATAATCAATTAACTAGCCTAGACTTGAATAATAATTTGAAACTCATCAATTTGCTTTGTTCCTATAACAAGTTAACTAAATTGGACTTGAGTGACCTAACCCATTTAGAAAGAATTGATTGTAGCAACAATATCATAAATAGTTTAGATCCCTCAACTTTAAATCCCAGTAAACTTTTTTTATTAAACATTAGTGATAATAACCTCTCTGAGCAAGATTTGTCGGTTTTCAGCCAGTTTGTCAGTTTGGAAATCCTATGAATTGGCACCAGCGATAAAAGTAAAATTCAGTTAAATGCTTATAATCGCTTTGTTGGTAATTTAAAATTTTTGGAAAGTCTAATTAGATTAGAGTCACTTCATATTAGCAATACTGATATTGACGGCACCTTGGAGTACTTACCAAAAAACATTCAGGAAATTTATATTTCCTTCCAAGAAAGGCCTGAAAGCAAAGTAAAAAAGGTTGAAGAACTGCTGAAAAAAAGTTCTTGCTTTGATTTTAGCGAAGATGAACACGGAGCAAAGTATTATGATAAAAATTGAACAGACATTCATAAAGATTTTGGTAAAAAAATAAATTCTCTTCGAAACGACAAAACATACAAAGAGAGATGAAAAAAAGAAGGATTTGGTTACAAAGAAGTCAAAGAATGAATAGCAGTAGGTTTTGGACCTAGTGAAGCGTGATCTGCCAATAGCTGAAAAAGTTATGGTTTCTCTCCTTCTCAAACTCAAGAGTGAATTAAAATCGGCTTAGACAAAGGGAAATTTCTTGAAGAGGGAGAAGTAGAATTTGCTAATTATTGTTATGAGAAGGGGTTCGCTCCCCAATTAGTAAAGAACAATTTAGAAAAACTAAAAGAGGAATTCTACAATGCCAAAAGTTATTTAGAAAGAGAATACTCTTCCCAAAAAAGAGCAGAAATAAAAGAATTATTTATTGGAAAAAAAAGACTGACAGGCTCTCTAAAAATTGAAGGATTTACTAATTTAGAAAGATTAAATTGTTATGGTAACCAATTAGTTAATTTGGAAATTAAGAATTGCTTGCAACTCACGGAAATTTATTGTCACCTTAATAGCCTTGTTTCTTTAAATATTAATTATTGCCCTGAAATTAAGAAAATTGTTTGCTCAAAAAATCATCTTGCTGACTTACCGTGAGAAGAATTAAATCCCGAAAAATTGACTTACCTAGTCATTGACAATAATAAAATAAAAAAGGATTTATCTGTTCTTAGCCAATTCACCAATTTAAAAGAGAGATTAGATATTAGTAATAATCAATTTTTTGGCTCTTTAGAATACTTAGAAAATTTGACAAAGCTAGAAGAACTGGATGTTAGCAATAATAAAGTGTATGGTAGTTTGGAAGTTCTAAAAAATTTAAACGAATTAAAAGTATTACACATCCGAAAAATCAATATCACTGCTGATCTAGAAGATTTGACAGAAAATATTGAATTTATTTATTGCGACAAAGAAAAATTTCCCAAATTAGAAAACTATGGAGATGAAGAATTTGGTTTTGACCTCCAAAAATGGAGAAATAATTTAAAAAAAGATCAACTAATCCAATCCCTCGAAGAAGAAAACGCCAAAATTGAATCGTTAGAAGATGACATCCTCCGCTTAACCAACTTAACTAACGAGCAAAAAAAAAAGATAGTTGATGCTTACTTAAAATTTGCTCCTGAAAAAGAACTATTAAAAACTCTAATTATTGTCTGCTTAGAATACAACAAGGCAAAAAAGAAAAGACTGCCAGTTAAAGAACTACGCCAAGAATTCGAAAAACTTCGTGATGAGTTAGAAAATAAAGCAGGTGAAGAATACTTTGAAGAAATCCAAACCATACTTACTGACTGTGAAGACTTGGTTCAATGAGAACTGGAATTAGAAAGTGAAATTATCAAGAGAAAACTATTGCTCAATGATGCTTACCAAAAAGTATTAAGTCTAACTGTTAATATTAATGAAAGGATTGAAGTTTATCGAGGTAATGTCTACATTGGAAATATCATAAAGTCTCATAATGAAATAGATGATTATCATCAAGGAGAAACTAGTCTTACCGAAATGCTAGAAGAAGAAGTTAAAGAAATAAAAATGACAAACAATGTCTATTCACCTTTTAATGCTGATAGGGGTCATGTCATTGTTGGTAGCAGAATAGAAAGTGGAGTTGATTTAAGTCAAAATAAGACAATTACCCAAAGCATTATCTCCAAAGGTAATACCAGCATAGGGGGCAACTTTTCTCCTCAAATAAAAACTAGTCATGAGGAAGAAATTAGGGAAGCAAAAGTAGAAATACCAGTCACTAAACCTGACTAGAATATCTAAAATTTTAACAAAACAAACTGGATAGAGATGTTTTTAATTTTTCTTGTCAAGAACCTCCATCCGAGCCTCCACCGCGCCTTCTAACTTAGTTTCTTCCTCTAATTTCTCAAATAGAGACCAGAACTTTTTTTCACTAATTTTTGTCTGTAACGTTTCTTTAGCAGTTTGAAACCCTTCTAAAAACTTACCCAAAGCATTAATGCTTTTTCTTCCTTTCATGTGTTCCTGTAAAACAGATAAAAGATTTTCCAAGAATTGTTTTTCTTCTTCAGCAATCTCAATTTTTTCATTTACATTAATATTTATCATTCTAAATTTTGCTTCTTCAATAACCCGAGTAGTTCTAGCAATTATAGCCTCTAATTCTAAGTCATTTATTACTAGTTTTTCACAATCAGTTAAAATTAATTCTACTTCTTCCATTTGCTCCTCGCTCATCTTTTTTTCTAGAGTAGACTTAATTTGATCACGCTCTTTCCCCAACTTGTAAGAGGGAAGATTTTGCTCTTTTGCTTTTCGATAAATTAATTCAGCCTTGATTAATTTTTGCAGTAAATCACTTTCAGGAGTTAAATAACAGTAGGCTTTCACTATTCTCTCTTTCAAATCCTTAATGGTTGATTCTAAAAAAGAAGTTCTTTCAATGTTAGCCTGAAAGATAAGTTTTAAATCCTCTAATTTTCCTTCAAAAAAGCCATTTTTGACATTAAAAAAAATGGAATTAGTCAATTGATTATAAGGGCAAAAAATTTCCCTAATTTGCGTGTTCTTGCTCAGATCTAAATTGATCAGTTTGTTATCCGAACAAGAAAGTTTAGTAAGTTTAGTGTTTTGCCTCAAATCTAGATCAGTCAGCAAATTACCAGAACAATTAAGTTCAACTAATTTAATATTTTTACTTAAGTTTAAACTGGTAAGACCATTTTCAAAACAGAAAAGTTCCCGAAGGTTGGGGCAATTTGATAGATTCAGATCTGTAATTTTTTGTCATCCACAATTTAATTTCTCTAAGTTGAAGAAACCCTCTAAACACAGGGATCTTTCTAGCCTTTCTTTTATTCCTTCTGGATTTCAATCCTCCCTTACACCAATGTTCAACTCTTCGCAATTTTCTTTTTCTTTCAAAGTAAGGTATCTCACGTTCAGTCACTTTTGGGCATTACTTGCAGGGAAAAGGCTGTCAATATATTCACTTCTTAATTTCTGAATGTCGCCACAACTCAAACATAATTCAACAGTCCAGCCTTTACTCTTTAAGTAATAAACCTCAAACCAATATCTACTCATTCCTTCATATCTTCATAACTAAACCCTCTACCTTCTCACTCTTTTTGTAATTCCGGAGTAAATTTTAAGGTTTTATCTTTTCATTTTACCATATTAAAATGCTAACTTACTATAAAATTATTTTTTAGATTAATAGTCCTATTACGGTTCACGAATATTATGAGGAAATTGAAATTAACCCCCACAATAAAAGATATGGCAAGTAAAAGTCTGGTAAAATAACATAATAAGAGACACAAATATATTAGTCAATTTATTATTATGGCAAAAGACCCTGATTTGAAACCAATTCATCCCGGAGAAATCTTAAAAAGTGAGTTCTTGGAACCTTTAAATATGAAAGGGGAAGAATTAGCCAAAAATCTCCAAGTAAAAAAGTCAATTATTAGGGAATTATTGGCGGAAAAAAGGAGAATGACCGTGGATTTAGCCTATCGTCTTTATTTTTATTTTGGCGTAAGTGCTGAATATTGGTTGAATTTCCAAAAAAATTATGATTTGGAGACTTATCAAGAGTTAGCGGAAAAAGAAATTAGGAAGCAAATTCAGCCACTAGAAAGGGGAGTTGAAATTTAATTTTTTGAAGCATTAAAATATTAATATGTCAGCAAACGACCTTGATTATTACCAAATACTAGAAATAGACAAAAACGCAACCCAAGAGGAAATTAAAAAATCCTATAAGAAACTAGCCTTAAAATGGCATCCTGATAAAAATCTTAATAACCAAAAAGAAGCCGAAACCAAAATGAAAGAAATCAACCAGGCTTATGAAACATTATCAGACCCCCAAAAGAGAAAAGAATATGACTCAAAGCAAAATGATAAAAACAACCATTACCCAAACTCCAATCCTTCAAAAGACGGCAAAAATAGCGGAGCAATAGCTTGAGGCGGTGGAATAGCGGCAGTAATAAGGAATTAGCAAAACAAAAGAATATCATACTTGTTTATTTACCTCCTTATACTCCCGAGTTAAATCCTACCGAAAACTTTAATAGAGCATTATAAAAAGCCTTTATAGAAAGCGTCGGCCGCGAACCGAGGAAGAATTAAGAAAGGTTATTGAGGAAGGAATATCAGAAGTAAAAAAGAAACATGATTTAAGAAATCTTTTTAAAAGTGCTTTTGATTATGAAAACTGACATTAATTTTGAAAAATGCTATAATCGCTTGCTTTTGTTGTTTCAACTCTTCAATTCGGCTTTCAACTTTGGTTTTTTTGTTTTTACTCGTATTAAGGAGGGTTACTCCATTGTTATTTATGAAATTATTTTTCATGCTGAAAAATAAATAAAGAAAATAAAACCTCGTAGAGTGCTATTCCCCAAATTGTCTCTAGGGAATTGAAAAAAATAACCAACGGGTAAGTTTTTCCATTTTGCGATAAGCAAAAAGTAGGGTTTAAGTCAAAACAAATTAATAAAAATAAAACCAAGTATAAATAATAATGATGAGTAATCCTCCGCAAAAACAAATAAAAACCAAAAAGAAGCCGTTAAGGTTGAAAAACAAGTGATTTAAAGAATTATTGAGAAATTAAACTTACAAAAAAAGATCTGAATTTGAGAAGTAAAGTTAGCGCAAAAGGCCGAAGTAGAGATAAGAAAAAGGAAAAAAATTGTAACTGTTAGAAAACTAAAAAAATAAAGAAAATTTGCGTGAACTTTTAAAAGGGAAAAGAGAGGAATTTATTCCGAACTTTCTCAAAATTAAGACTTGGATTAATTGGGATATCGGGGAAGCAGTGATAAAAACTGCTTGGGCGATGAAAATATTCCCTAGTTGTAAAATCTATACAAATCTAACTGCTATATTTTTCTAACTGCTAGACATAAAACCACAAAACATTTATAATATTTCCAAAATACTATCCAAAAGTTTCTTTACCTGTTTACTCAAACTTTTATAAGAAATTTCACTAATACTTTTTCCTTCATTCTGGGCTTGACGATAGGAAGCCCGAGCATACAAGGCATAAGGTAAGCAATGATAATTAGTTAATTTTAAATAAGCACGGGTGGCTTTTTCCTCGGCGGGGGTGATTAAATTATTAAGAAGCAAGATTAATTTTTTCGGAGGAATACCTTGTTTGACTAAACTATTAAACTCTCGGACAGCAGGCTCTAAATCTGCACGGGTGGCACTGGTAGGTTGAATTAGTAAATTAGCTCGTTGAGCGATTTCATAAGTTCCTTTACTAGTGCGGGCAGGACCATCAATAATTATTAAATCATATTGTTTAGTTAAAGGTCAAATGTCTTTTACTTGTTGAAATACTTGGCTAGTAATAGCAGGAGTTATTTTATTTTCTTTTCGCAATTGAGTTCATTTATAACTAGTAGATTGCTGCGGGTCGCAATCCGCTAGTAAAGTTTTTATTTTTTGGCGGGTAGTTTCAACCGCTAAGGCTTGGGCGAGGGTAGATTTTCCCACTCCTCCTTTTTGGGAAATAAAAGCAAGTATTAGCATATATATTATTTTTTTATGTCTAGACAAATCTAACTTCTATACAAATCTAGCAGCTAAATAAATCTAACTGCTATAAAAATATATATTATGAATAAGTGAAGTCAGAAAATTAAAAGTTTAGGAATTCCTTCCCAAGAAACTAGCGAAAATTTGAAATCCCCAGAAATAGTAATTGATAAAAGAAGTTGACGCAAAAATGGACGAACAGAGCAGTTTGGCACACGGGTTAAAAAGGAATGGTTAACTGATTTAAAAAAAATAGCCCAAGAGGAAAGACTAAATTATGTGGAAGTCTTGGAGGATGCTTTGGCGTGTTATAAAGCATGTGGTAAACATCGGCGGAAATAATGAGAAAGAGCGAAAAATTAATAAATATACGAAAAAAACATGCTAACCACTGCTAACCATTTAAGCTACCAACAAAAAATTAATAGTGGTAGTTTCTATACCCCGCCTGAACTGGTTAATTATGTTTGAGAATTAATTGCCCCTTTTCTAACCAAAAACACTGTTATCCTTGATACTAGTGCGGGAAAAGGAAGTTTTTTTTTGAATAGAGAAAGTAAAAATTTACTACTTGTCGCTGCTGACAGCGACGAATTGGCCGTTAATTATTTGAAAAAAAATTTTCTTAACCTCTCTGCCATCCACAAAAATGCTTTAACTAATCCTTGTAGAAAAGAATACGGCATCCAAGATAACCAAAAGTTAATCATTATTGGTAATCCTCCTTATAATGACATAACCTCTTTAAAGGCCAGAAAACTTAAAGAAAATCACCAAAATAATCCAGCCATTGATCCGCAAATAAAATCTCGTGATTTAGGAATTAGTTTTTTGCGAAGTTATTATCAATTAAAGGCTGATTATATTTGCGTTCTCCATCCGTTGAGTTATCTAATCAAAGAAACCAATTTTAATAACTTAAAAGAGGTTAAAGATAACTACAAACTGCTTAAATCCTTGGTAATTGATAGCAAAAAATTTAGTGATGCCAAAGGGGCTTCTTTTCCAATTGCTATCTCCTTGTATCAATTAGATAAAAAGGGGATGAATTATGAGTATATTAAAAACTTTTCTTTTCAGTTAGAGAATGGCAAACAATTTTCGCTCAATTCTTTTCAGTTTCTAACTGACTTAGTTAATAAATATCCCAAAAAAACCTTTTCGGATGAATATTTAAATAATTTGTTCTTTTTTACTTTTAGAGATATTAATTCCGTTATGCGAAATAGAACATTTATCCAAGAATTTAATGATTATAGTGTTCCAATAAGAAAGGACAAGTTAAAATATTACGCTTATATTGATTATTTTAAGGAGGAATTTCAAGGAACAATACCTTTTTATTTGCGGAATTTCGATGTTTTTTATAACCCAGAATTCCAAGAAGAGGATTGAAAATATTTTACGCAAAGAGTTTCCTCTAAATTGGAGAACAAAAAACCAGCGGAAAAACTAACCAAAACTAGTAAAATTAAAGAATTTGAAGCATGAGTAGCCAATTTATAAAGATAATTTTGCCTTTAACTAGTCATAGCAGTAAGATTAGAGTTAAAAAAAGAAAAGATATTTTTTACCAAGGAATACCACTAGCCACCCGCCAAGAAAAAATTACGAGTGATTGTTATTTTGAATGGCAAATCTCTTATGACTTAAAAGAAACTAATTCTAATTTTGCTAAACTTCACCAATACCCTTAATAAAATAAAAATAGTTGACAAAGAGGAGAATCCGACTGGTCGCTATATTTACGAATTATCTGACCTATTAGTGGAAATTCTAAGAAAAAGATTTATTGATTTAAAATATCTGAAAAAACTACTAAAAGAGATTCACAGTGAAAAGAAATTTATTGAGGATGAATTAGAAGTTTATCGAACTCACCCCAAAGAATATAAATTTGGCGAATATACTTTTTGAAAAAGCACCATTGGACATCCACTCCTAATTTATGAGATAAGTGATTTGATATTAAAGATAGAGATAATTATTAAAGAAAAGCAAAAAGCAATTGGCATTCAACCCATGCTCTATTTATGTATTCCCATGAAATTAGTGGAAGAATATTCCGAAATAGAAAATAAGTCAGCAGAAACTAAACAGAAAGCAACTTATCTAGTAACCAAAAATAATTTTCAGTTTGTTATTGAGACAATTCGAATTTTTGCTATTTTGTCAAGGAAGCACCAGAAAGACATTGTTAATATTTTGCGGACAATTTTAACTTATGGAAATAAGTAGTGAAAATAACTCTAAACCGACCTTCCCATCTCCATTCTCCCTCAAAATGTGTATTAAATACTATTTCGCCTATTGCGTAAATATAATACCATATGAGGAGCAAAAAAACTTATCCCTACCCTAGTTATAAAAATCCTGTTAGACTTTCGCCTTTTGCTCAGGAAGCAAGGGAGCAGTTAAGAGAATTAGCCAGAAAGATAATGACAAATGAGCCAATTTTCCAACGCAAAAATGACAAAATTCCTGCTCTGCCTTTTTGGATTGAGGCATTAAATAGCACTCATTATCAGTCTTGGTGTTTTGAATGCTTTGCGTTTATCAGGGAAGCGTTAAGGCATGGAATAATTAAAAATAGGCATGATGCTCGGTTTTGGGGACTAAAAGAGAAAAAAGCGTTATGTGGCAATTGTTTAGAAAAAAGATTAGAGCAAATGCCCGTCAGGAAAAGGCACTTGTGGGCTGAATATAAAAAAAGAGGATATTGAGAGATTAATTAATACGCAATAGGCGTTGTTATTTGTGCTTATTTATTAGGAGGTTTAAGAAGTGGTTGCTCTATTTTTGCTTCTTGCTCTTTTTCTAGCTGTTTATAGTAGTTAATTTTTTGTTGTTGATAAAGAAACTTCCCAACTACTTTTAATTTGATTTCCAATTGGTCGGCTCGTTGTTTTTCTTGTTGGACTAACTGCTGGGTATATTTTAATTGTTCCTCTAAAAGTTTGATTTTTTGGAGTAAAATTGCTTCTTTTTTAGCAGGCTTTTCTTCATTATTAGCAATTAGCGCTAATGGTTTATTGATTTTCAACTGATCGTTTTTTTTGTTAGCAGGATTTAAGGGAAATTTCGCTGGGGAGTTAGGCAAAATTCCGTTAATTAACATTCCTGGGGTTTTTTTAAGTGTTTTTGGGAGTGATAAGGAATTATCCGCATGAGTAGGATTTTTGCTTGAAATTACTGGTCTTTGGTATATAAAAATAGGTTTGGGAGTTTTCAGTGTTTCCGGGAAATTTTCCGTGATTAGTGGTGGTTGTTTTCTTTCTAGTCAGTTTTTACCAGCTAGTATACCACCAATATCGTCGTCTGGTTCCTGGTAAATATCCTTTCAATATAAAGAAGTTGTCCTAATACTGGAATGACCTAACAATTTCTGCAAAATTGGTAAAGGCAGACCAGATTCCGCTTGGTAAGTAGCGAAAGCATGGCGGAGAGTATGCGGAGTTAGTTCCACATTTTTGCTAATTCCTAACTCTCTTTTTATTTTCCGTAAAAAATGGTAAAAGTTTCGGCGATTAGTTTGGTTCGGTTGTCAATTATTTTTCTTTAATTCCCCGATGACCTTTTTGGGAATATAGACAAGCCGTTCCTTTTTGCCTTTGGGTTTTTCTATGCGATATAAGCCATTAGGAGTTTTATTCGCTAAATCAAATTTTACTGCTTCACTCACCCTTAACCCTGCCTTATGACACAAAAGAAAACAGCAAAAGTGAATTCCCCTCTTACTCTCCTTTTTCCTGTTTGGAATCCTTTTCATTTCCTGACTAACTTTTTTTAAAAGTTGTTGACTAGGAAGCATATAAGCAAATTTTAAGACTAAAATAGACAATTACTCCCAAAAATCAACTCGACCAAATTTTTACTCTGAATAAAGTTTAGTCAACTTTTAACTACCCTTTATAAACTTTTTTTAGTGGTTATTCACGAGATAACACTATGGATTTTTGGTTAAAAATATTTGGGGGCTCCTCCCTTTATCTTACCCTGGGGGAGGTTGGCCTCCTTTCTCTCGCTTGTTTTTCTCTTATTAGACAGCCGCAGCACTTTAAAAACTTTTCCAAGGACCATAAGAAAGGGAGTTATAAGGTATAGATACAAGGGATGACTTTTGAAATGGAGCATAGAACCGCGTGTTAACTCTTATAAAAGAAAAAACAAGTAAAAAGAAAAGAAAAAAGGGCCGTTAAGCTATTTTTTACTTATTAAAAATAAGTAAAGGGCCAAAATTAGCCAAAAAAACGCCACACTTCACCCCTCGCCTCGCTTCGGAACTAAAATTATTATATAGGTTTGTAGTTCCCTATATTTAGTTCTCATTTTAAGAGGTCGACAAGTCAGGAATTATGGGTATCCGCTTCGGTCTAAATAACTTGATTACAGTTTTTAGAATTCCCGCGGTGATGGTCTGGTTATATGCCAGACATTCCACCCCCATTATCGCCACAGCTACTGCTTATCGGTAGTTTGTTTCAATTAGAAACGGCGACCTAACTTCCGCATTTGCCTCGCAACTAGTTCTAGTTTTTTTACTCATTGGAGTAGAGTTTAGATAACTAACTCGTGCTTATGGTCTAGTTGTGGAAAACAATGAGGTTAATTTCCCAAGAAAAAAAGTAAAGAAGTCTTTATTTCCTTTGTTCGAAAATTAATTCTTTAAAAAGTGGAAAAATTCTCCTCCTTCTTTGAAAATAAGTTAAAAAAGTGGAAAAATTCTCCTTCTCTCTGACACTTTTCTAGTAAATTGTTATTAGGATTGCCCTGTTGTGAGTAATTCGCATTTGTCATTTTTGTTGTAAACTCAAAGCGACTGACAGACTACTAGTAGGTAGACAAATGCGATTTTATACAAACCTCGTTCGTCTACCAGTCCCTTTCAGTAAACAACTATATATTGTAATTTTATTTATCAACTATCAGATAAAAACTTCTTATGAAATATTCAAGAGCCAAAAATAAGAACCGCGACTATAAAAGAAACTAAAAATCACCCGCTCTGAATAGCATTAAAAAAAGAGTGTTTAATCACAATTCATTCTGTTATATTTAACCCGCTTGCGTGATATTTGTAAAGTGAGAAAGAGAATAATCAGCAAAATATACCACCACATATTCAAATTGGACCAAATACTATTATTTTGAGAATATTATCTTCTATTCAGTTGGTTATTTTTCCTATCATTATAATTATTATTTTTTCTTTTCCCTAGTCAATAACCAATCACCATAGCTGAAATTCCAAAAACAACTAATCCGCCAACTAATAAAGAAGTATTATTACCAGGTTGCTTATTATCCTTAACTGGTGAATCTCCTTGCTGAATAAGAGTTTGTAAATATTGAGCGTTTTGGGACTGATTATTATCTCCTTTGGCAACTAATTTCTGAGCATATTCCAATAAATCCATTAAAATTGTTCCTTTAAAAGAATTTATTCGGATCTTTTTATCTTTAATGCCTTGGACTAACTTCCCAAATTGCTCGCTAGTTAAATTTTCCAAATTTTTAGCGGATAAAGGATTATTTTCACAATTCAGATATTCCAAATTAGGAAAATTTTCTAGTATTCAGGCTAAATCTAACTCCTTTATCTGATTACCAAAAAAGTTTAGTTTTTTTAATTGTTCTTTATTGGGTAAACTACCCAAAAAATCCAAGTTTTCAAATTTATTATTGTAAGAATTGAAACTAGTTAAGGCCGTGAATTCTTTTAAGTCAACATTACCAGATAAATTGCGGTTGCTAATATCCAAGTACTTAATTTTAGCCTTATTAGTAAGTTGGTTAATGTTCTCTTGAGCGTTATTTGACATATATAATATGTTTTAATTTGGTTTTGTGGGTTCTTGTTATTCTTTTCTTTTTATAATACTTTTTTCGTTTTTTAGTAGTTTTTTTGCCTGATCGGATTTGTCAACTTCTATTATTTAGGCAAGAAGGGTCAAAATTGCGGACATTTTTTAACTGTTTTTGTTCTAATTCATTTATTTTAAAATTATGATGCTATTTTTTTGCAACTTCTATATGTGCTTCATAGTATTTTTTTTCTTTTTCTAATTTATTAATTTGGATATTTTGATTCATTCCAATTACCACTTCTTCTTCGGGATTAGTTAAATTTTCTGACCCCTCTAATATTCTTATCAAGTCTACTCGATGATAAACTTCATCATTAAAACTTTTTACCAGTAAGGCAATTAATGGACGGTTTTTTCATTGATTTTTATTGGGTACTAAAAGTGTAAAATCATCACTATTTTTTTTTACCAATGTCTTACGTGTTCCTTGCAAATTTACTCATTTGTAATCTGAACTACTTTCAACTCCCACCAAAAACCTTCTGCTGTATAATTCGCCATCATCATTTTCATTATTACTGTCAACTCTTTCTGTGCTAACTATTTTATATTTCGAGCCTTTTATTTTAATTCCGTTCTCTGTAAAAATAACACTATTTGGTTCGCATTCAATACCTTCTATCACTCGCTCTATGCTTGTCAAACCATCTTTTTCTATTTTTGGTAGCCAGCATAATCCCAGCAAATCATTATTTCCTTCTCCATATCAAGATAAAGGTTCACCATGACCGTTTTCTACTGCTATTTTCATAACATTAACCAGCTCTTCGACAAAATCTTTTTTTGTGTAGTGATTATTTTCCTTGTATTTTGGTCTTACTTTACTTCCATAACTTAACAACCCTAGCACAGAATAAATACCATCTACAATTATAAATCTTTCCCGTCTTTCTATTGCTTTAAGGGCTTGAAATAGGCTTAAATAAATTTCGTCTTCTGGATTATATCCTTCTTCGTAATAAGCTCAACCGAGGGGAGTAGCGACTTTTTTGCTGTATTTCTTAAAGAAATTATGAAGATAATCTTCTTTTTTGGTTAGGTGGGGGAGATTTGTTTCTGGACCTTGTTTGATCGACCAAACCATGGCCAAAAATCTTCCATCAACCAAGCAATCATCAAACATAAAGACGGTTTGGGGAGATAATAGCCCTTCTTGAAAAGTCCAAGTTCTACGAAACCAATCTGACCTGACTATCATTTTTATTATATCCAATGCAGCAGAAAAAACTTCTTCCATCTCTGCTTTTCCATCACCTTTAGGCTGTAAGGAACTTAGTGATATATTCCTGTCAATTTCTTTTTGGATCGGTATCAGAGTTACCTTAGCACTTCTGTAGTATTGCCTCAATTTTGATATCTCAAAAGCTAGTTCTTCTTCATCCCTTTGATTTATGCACAGACAATCCATTCATAGATAATCAACTTTAATTTCCTTATTTTTGCATGCTTTGATGGCTTTGTGGAACGACTTTTCACTTCCGTCATGCAAGTTTTTAGAAGTTCTGCTATCTTTCCTAAATTTACTTCAAGGAGGAGCTCCTCAGGAATAAGACAAAATAGCATAATCCTCTATATCAATACCTCCTTCTATCAAATCTTCGGTTTTACTTGCCTCTATTTCTTCCAACTCACTTTCATTAATTTCAAGAAGATTGATCAACTTAGTTGGCAATCTATCTTTTACTCCACCATTGAAAGGTCCAAGAAAATTCTTTGGAAGTATTTTATTGTAATACATTACTCCTTCTCTAATATTGTCCTCCTCTAATCTATCTTCTACGGCCAATCCATATGGCAGAGCTGTTTCTACTTCTAGATTATTGGTTTTGTTTTGTGAGGTTATGCCTAGTATTTTTTTAAATTCTTTTATTTTATCTTTTTGCTTAGACTTCTCAAAAGACTGAGAGTTGGATAGAACAATCCCTGATTGCCTTCTATAGTCCATAATCTTTGTTTCTTCACTTT